AGGGAAGCAGTGCTGGGCCCTGGGTCCACAGAAAGAATCAGGGTTTCACTCCAGTTCCTCTGCCTCCCAAAATTTGTGTCCAAAGAAAATCAAGTGGCACATGATTTAGAAATAATTAAAATTTAAAAACTCATCCAGTGAAGGTAAACCAGAAAGATAGGACCTCATCCTTCTGAATAAAGATATAGAACTGAAAACCCTTAGAACTTAATTCAGGCCCAGCACACAGTATGTGCTCAACAAATGCTGGTTAAATGGACACCATGCAAAAGTGATTTCAATTGTATACACAGCAATACATGGATTTGCTGAAGACCTGTGGACCAATGGGATTCACGGTCTTAAGTGAAGAAAGAGCAAATCCCACCTGATGCCATGAGGCTGGTTACATATTTGACAGTACTCAATCCCAACAGAGGGCTTAAAATTTAGAACTGCAAACATATTTAGAAAAATGCTCAGATGCTAGATGCATAATGAGTTTCTAAGAAAACCAGGATGGCCTAATTTTGAAATCTGACATCAGAAAGACAAACGGCCCTTCCCGATAGGCCACCTGCCTGAGCCAGAATCTAAGATTTTCCAGTCTTGGTTCTCACTGGCTAAGCCAACAATTTATACCCTGAAAAGGGAAATGAACCCTTAAGATGGCAGGAGAGGGGATATTTGGGCCAGGTGCCCAGGGTCAAGGTGAAGCCATGACTGGTGATGGCAGGGAAGTAGCACCTTGTAACAGATTTTATGGTAGTTTAGGAGCTTGTCTCACCTCTGCTTCTAGAGGGCAAGAACTGCATCCCAGATTATTGCCTCCTCCAAATGTGCAGTAGTCCTTCCTATGTGCATGCACCAGGAGCTCAGACATTTGTGAAATGAGAGAATGAGCAGGCGGCCGAGGAATTCTATTCTGATCAAGCAGTGCATCCCTAAAGGAGGTCCCTGGAGTCAGAGGCAGTGAGGAAAGGTAACAGGAGCATACCTGGGACCTGAACCAAGATGAGGCATCTGTGAGCCAGCCACACAAGGAAACAGTGAAAAGAACCAAAGAAGAAATGCTTCTGAGGAAACTTGATCCAATACTTGAAGGGCTGTCACACTGGTGAAAAATTAGGCATGCTTTATACAAAGCCCCAGAAGTCAACTCTTGGCTGAATTTAAGGAAAAACTCCCTCTTAACATAGTATGTGTCCAACTGTGTTTTGTGGACTGCTAGCATTCAGGGAGGTGGAAGTGTCAGAAGGGGAGAAAGGGAAAGGTTCCAAATGATTCCACAGGAAAAGATGTTGAGGAATCTGAGTTAATCAAAGAAATAGATGTTCTTGCTGAAGAGTACAGCCTTCAGCCCTTCTCAAATTTATGTGGCCCCCAGCAGATTTTTGTAGGATATTACGAACATCTCACGGAGTCTCTGTTGCAAGCTCAACTCTGTGAAAAGATGAACTATAGCTGTCTGACAAAAGCATCTTATGAAAATGTGTCACACCAGTATTCGAGAGCTTTAAGGATGTAGCATTCAAAACAGCACAGATAATAAAGATGCAGTCTTAATAGAAAACTAGAATCACTGGTTCATTCTCCAATGGACTTTCATTGGGAATGGTCAAGTGGTAGGCCAAAAGGTCCAGTTACACATAAAGATGCGGGTTAGTTGTCTTCTCCCACCACTTAGTGTCCAAATAAGTTGATAATATGTATATCACAAAGGGATCCGGGAAGCAATCAATGATATTGGCTGGGCAGATTAGTAACAGGAAGAGTTCTTGTCAGAGAATGTTGACTCTTTGTGTAATGTTTTCTAGAAAATATTGCCTGCCTGCCTTCCTCCCATGCATCTATCCATTCTGTAAATATTCACTGAGGGGTCTTCCAAGACCAGCAATAGTAAATAAAGCCAAACAAGGTGTTGTTGTAAGACTACCTTTTAGGGAATACAGACAATAAACAAACATGTTGCACAAAAAATGATTTAATTGAGGTTTTATACATACATATATATATATGTATATATATGTATGTATATATATATATTACAAAGGAAATAGATGGTGCAAAACAACGGTAAGTTACTATGAGATCTTGTCCAGTGTGGAGTTTCAGGATAGGTTCCCTAAGGAAGCACAGAGATCCTGTCTTATAGACCCTTAAATGTGCAGCTTGAAATAAGTCTCTGTAACATTCCTCTGGGAAATCATAGCCCACTGCAGCTGGGAAAGGCCACACTGGCCCACCCACCACAGCAGCCTCCTCTCTAGCACACATCTTATGTATGTTGTATTTGGGACTATGACTCAGTAGGTCTGGGAAGGGCTGAAGAATCTGTATTTCTAACCAGGTGATTCTAATGCTGCTACTCTACAGACATTTAAGTAATACTAATGTATTGGGCATTTAAAAAAACCCAAATAAAAGGAGAGCTATACCAAGTTCATTGACAGAGACGCTCAATCATAAAGATGTCCATTTTCTTCAAATTAACCTATATATTCAATATACTGCCAACCATAATCCCCATAGAGTTATTTTTTCTTTACTGTGATTTAACCTGAAAGCTGAATCTAAAATAATTTTGGAAAATAATAAAGTGAGAGACTTGTCTTACTACCTCTAGGCTTACAATAAAAGTATAGGTGTGGTATTAACACACAATTAGCCAAAGAGACCAGGGGAATGGAACACAGAGCCCCAAAACAGACCTGTACTTTCAGGAAAATTATATATGAAAGAGAGCATTACAAACCAGTAGGAAAATGTGAATTATTCAGCAAATACTCCTGAAAAAATTGGTAATTTATATTAAAAACAAAACAAAACAAATCCTGAACCCCTACATCATATGCAAAAATAAAATTCCTAAATATGAAAACAGAAACTTTTAAAACTATTAGAAGAAAATACAGAAGATGTTTACAAGTTTGGGGTAGGGTAATACATCTTAAATAAGGTACCAACTATGTAAACCAAAAAGAATATACTGGCAAATCTGATTTCAATAAAGTTGAAACTCCTATATGCCATAAATAAATAAGAAAAGCCACACAGTAGGAAAAGCTATTTGCAGCATACTTACATCTAGAAAGTATCAATATACTATTATCTAGAATGTATCAAAATTCCTACCCATTAGAAAAGACATCCAAAGAGAAAAGGATATGAACAGGAAGTTCACAGATGAGGAACCCAAACAGGAAAAAACATGAAATGGTGATCAACCTCGCAAGTAATTAGAGGAATGCCAACTTGAAATAGCAAGATTCAAAACTTAAAAATCAACCAGACCAAGTACTGTCTAGAATATAGAACAGTAGAATTCACATACACTAGTGTTGAGAAAGTAAATTAGAAAAATCTTTTCAGAAAGCAGTTTGACATTATCTGATAAAACCCATAATGCTTGCACCATACTATGAGTAATTCTACTCTGTATGGCCTAGAACCCTTCATTCAGACACATGGGGAAGCATGGACAAGATATTTATTCAGTGTGCTTATAACAGTGGGAAATAGGAGAAAGTCTAAATTCCCATCAAGAGGAGCTGGCTAAACACAGTGTTGTCTTTTTATGTATTGAAATACTATACAGCAGGAAAAAATAAATGAACCAAAGCTACATGTATATCAACACGGGAACATCTGAAAACCAACGTGGAGCAAAGAAACAAGGTTGTAAGAAAATGTAAGTAATGGATATCATCAATACGAAATTTTTAAGTATGGAAGAAAGGTCTAGGTACTATTCAGGAGATGAATATACAACACATGTACTATTAATATACAAATAGTTTATAGATATATATCTTAATGTAAAACTTATATAAAATTAAAATATAGAATTACATATTAATGTATAATGTGTGTATATATGTAAGATAACACACACACACATTAAGTATAAACATAAGAATGTTAAGTTTAAATTCAGTATCATGACCTCTAAAGAGGGAAGGAGGTGAATGGAATCTGGGAAGATAATTAAATCACTCATAAAACCACTGCCCCTCTATGCTACTGATAATCGGCATTAGGAATTAGTGTAGGGGATGCTCTTGTATAAAGCCATACTTTTTTTTGGACTGAAAAGCCTCAAAAAGCATTTAGCCCAACCTCTGACTCACAGAAGAAACATCTCTTCAATACCTGGAATAAGGGATCCTCCTATCCCTACTCAGGAGATCCTGAGTCAGGGCCACTGTGTACTGTTATACAAGTTGGGAATGCACAATTCTGGAACACACATTTCACAATATAAATGATACCCCCTAGGGTTGTGCAGTGAATGACTTCTATAATCACACGTGGCAGCCCTGTAACTGCTAGGTCATAGACCCCTCTGGAATGCTGACGGAAAAATGCCCACCTCTAGGAAAATGCCCATCCACATAATTACAGCCTGTAATGTTGGATTCAGATATCTCCCCAATGAGTGACAGCCCTCAACCAGCTAAACACTTTCAGGGATGGGTGATCACAACCTTCGGAAGTACGTGCAGACCAGTGCTGTGAAATTGAGCTCTTCCCTTAAGCACATTTGAAATCTTCCCTTTATAACCTCTACCATTAAAGTTGATCTGCTTCCTTTGTGCATGACACTTCAGCTACCAAAAGAAAACAAACCTGTCCCCTCCCCCTGAAGACTTCTGCTTTCCAGGCTAAATATAGTTTTGACTTAGCTTATCACAAACACACTATGTCTCCTCTTTTGTTAAAAATGCCTTTTTTTTTTTTTTTTGACTATCATTTTACCACCACTTCTTACCCTAATAAGCAACCAGGCATGCTGACATGTCATCAAAGAACAAGAAAACATTTCTCCTTAGCTGCTCCTTTGGGAAACCTCTAAAATCTTCACACTGGTCTCCAAAGCAGTCAAATGCCCACAGAAGCCAGGAAGTGTGAAGCCATAGAAAGAAGAGGCCAGACTTTTCCCAGGGTGGGGGCAATGTTAACTGAACAGGACCAGGACAGAGGCCTCACAGGCCAAGGGACACAAGTCATTTTCCACTTACTCCCAAAACTCCATGACGGGAGAGGTGGCATTCTGCAGGGACACATGACTGTGGTTGCTCATGTTCAGTTTCTGGAACTCCACACAATTCTCTACAGTGAAAACAAGACAAGAAATATAAGATTAACCTCTGCAAGGGTTGGATCTTGGGAAACATTCAGAAATGATGATGCAACCAGGTGGTTTTACCCAGCCACTCCAAGCAAACATGCCTCAGAGAACATTGGGGATGGAAATCAATCAATAACTTACAGTTTAAGAGAGAGGTTTGGTCTGATCAGAACAAGAGGAAAAGTTTTGGGGGCAGGGTACCTTCTCTCATTTCCACTCCATATGCCCTATCAAACTCTTTCCCTGTGCCTTGCTCCCTAATTTCCTTTCCTTTTTTCTACTTCCCTACTGAAGACATGTCCATGGCATTTCTGCCCTGCCCAGTGGCCCCAGCAGGAATAAAGGAATGAAAGGAGTGGGTCAGTCATGGGGTCCCTATGACAGTAATACAGTTGAGACTCAGTTTTTCTTCGTGTAGAAAGATACTAACATTGCAGCTACCTCATAAAGATGTGATAACTGGATGAGATGTCACAAGCCTATATGTGTAAAGGATTTCTGCTTTCTTCACCATTCCCTCACTTGATCAGTCCAAGCAAGAAAGGACTTATCAAATGTCTCTTCATTTCATGAAACTTGGGGAATTTGAAACTATGGGGGAATTTGAATTTCAAGTAAAAACATCTAACTGTTTAACCTTAATGGTTCAGATCAACCCCCTCCGCCAGGAAGACTTCCTCAATCTTCCTCCTCCTAAAGTCTAAGAAAATTAGGATTTAAAGGCCTTCCAAGGAACCACCTTCTCCAACTCCCTTTATTTTGAAGAAGAGAATCTAAGGTTCAGAAATATTCAGAGGACCCACATCCATACTCTCTCCCTCCTCTACAAAGTCACCAGCCATTTAGGGACATACCTGGGAGTAGACTCCAGTCAGTGCTCCATCTCTTTTGTTATGGTTATCACCCAGGTCTGTTCCCCACCATGGGACTTATACCTCTTTACAGCACCCCTGGTTACAGAGGCACCTTGGCCACCATCAGACTGTGAACTCCCCAAGTGCAGCTGTACCATTCACTTTGGAGGTCCTGCACCCAGCACCGGGGTCAGCACAGAGCCAGTGCTCCACCTCCCTCCGGCACTGCTCTCTCCTCACATGTGTGCAAACCCTCCAACTACATCTGTAAACTCTGGAGCAGAAGCACCTCCCACACATGATGTTTTACACATCACAAGTGTTTACACACTATTAAGAGAATGGTGGGCTGCAAGCCAGTAAAAGAAAGGTTTGCAGTCTGCTGGGGAAATGTCCTCTGATCATCCGCCTCCTTCCAGCTCCTCTTGACAAATACTAACCATATTCTGAAAGGAGTGGGGGGGGGGGGGTTCTGTGAGGTCCACAAAGTCCCGAAAGGAATCTGAAAAACTGAGATTCTAGGTACCCTTGTGCCTTTTTCCAGAGAGAGGAGCCTTTAGTTTTGATCAGTCTCTAAAACAATGTTTCTCGGTTTTTTTTTTCTAGAGTAAAAAAATTTCTCAGACATCCAATGTTGACAAGGTATTTTTATTAAAATGACATTTAATTATGTACAAATGAGTTATAAGTTATTTGTGATTATAGTATTCATATAAAAAAGCCAGAATTAAATTATACATTAAATATCAACTACAGAACACAAATCAAATTGATAGCATAAAATGGATGTGTAGGATAATGTCATTTTGTGAAATTAAATGGATTTCCCAACAAAAAAAAGGAATCGACAGGGAGGAGGCAGGGTCTATTGAGTTCAGCTTGCCTATTCTTCCACTGGCTACATGAGATTCAATTCTACTACCCTTTTGATTTGGTCAGGCTTTCACAATATCTTTATTCTTACAGTTTGTTGCATTCTTAACTGGACTTCACTCAGTACCAAAGTACTATTTATAAATTAAATCTCTCCCCTCTTCTCCATTGGCCACCATCATCCTATTTATCAAGACTACATCTTAAGTTATAAACACGCACAAAATCAGGCACTGAAATCTCCCGACTGTCCTCAGTTATAAGGTGGTTGTGTAGAGAATCCAGAACATGTGCATATTTTTAGAGTGTCCTCAAAAGAAACAAACACAATTAAATTATCATGGAGGACTCACGGGCCTCTAAGAGTATATCCTTGAATTTTAATTTGATAAACATCTCTATGAAGTCCCTGGCCAAAGAAAGGTTAAGAACCAGTGACCTAAAGAGACAGTGAGACCTCCAGGAAATGCAATGGGTGGGAGCAGGATAAAGTCATGCAGGACTAGAAACTACTTCATAGTATTTTCTAGGCCTAATTCCTACTGTTCCTTCTGCTGGTAACCAACATCCTACCCAGTCTTACTTTCTTAGCCTTCAGGACGACAAGCCACTTCCAGGGACAACCTAACCACAGGTTATAACACAGGTGGTGAGCATGTGTGCTGATTCCAATCAAAAGGCAGTGGCTGCCTGGAACAATGCTGAGAAGGGTTCTGAAGCCAAGACTAAACTCAAAAGGAAAGAGTTCTATGATCTATTAGTGATGTCTGCTCTGAGCATGGCCATCACAGATAGGGATTAAACATGTTATTTGCCCTCCCTGGATTATAAAACTTAATCTTGATGGGATGGACAAATCAAAAAGCAAACAGCACATTAAAATCCAAAGTAACCTAAAAAGTTATTCATTCAAGGGAGTGGGAGAGTGGTAAATTCAAATATCTAACTGGGTTAGGTAGGTAAAGTAAATAGGTAATGTGGGCTGGGTGGAGACTGTGGTCAACTTGAGGATAGAGGACTTATCTAAAGACAAGTGCTTATTAGCATTGCTGCCAAGCAAGTAGGTGGGAATGTGGATCTGCTGTTGCCAAATCTTTTAATTTTTCAAGAGAAGCTGGAAATCTGGATTTTCATGTGAGGTCTTCTGGGTTTTATATTTTGACAACCAAAAAAAAAAAATTGACAACCAAACACATTTTTGAAATTTGCTGATCACTGATATAAAGCCTAATTGGTCGGTAGGCCCCTGGTTTGCAATCCTTGATCTAGCCTAACCCCTTCATTTTGCAGAAGAAAATCTGATACCCCAAGAAGTAGGGTTGGAACTGGAGCCTGAACCCCTACTCTGTCTGCAAAGGGCTCAGTCTCTGTATTTGGCAAAGTGAGGAAAGGATATCACCACTCTTCCACCTGTGCCAATTCTGGGCCAGGGCTCAGCATAGGCTCAGGGCTGCAACCCACAGAATGCAACCAGATCTGGTACAGAACTGACCTCCAATTTCAGGGGAATCTGGCCCCATGTCAAGAGGACAAAGGCCAGGATTGATCTCCAGGATAAGGGCATACCCCCAATGCCAGGCCCTCCAGCAAGACCAGCATAGAGACCCTCCCTGGGGGCCATACCTGTGTTCCACTCATGCCCACAGGTGGCCCAGGGGAGCTCAGTAGTGAAGCAGTTGCTTAGGTAGAAAATGGCCCATGCCAGGATGATGATGTAGTATACATTTAGATGGGCCTCGATCACTTGTGTTGCATAGCCGATGCCTGAAAGAACAAAGGGAGGGATTTGTGTCTCTCTCCACCTTGTTAAGATAGTCTCAGCTACTTTTCACAGCCTGACATCACTTAGGCACCATTTCATTTTCTATCTCAATGCTTACCTTCAAATAAAGGGCAAACTTTCCTCCAACACGTAATGCCACCCTCACTCGTGAATTGTCCCAGAGCTGTTTCCAAGAAAAAAACAGGAATTCCACAGCAAATAAAAAACACCACGTAGGGAATCAGGAACGCCCCTACAAGGATGCAAAGTAAGGGAATGAGGTTAAAATTGCCTCTACTACTTCAGGTTTGGCACAAGAAATCTTTAATAAGCACCTACTATGTGCAAGACATAATGTTCTCTGAGCTTGAGGTCAAGTCCACACCTTGAGGACCACAGGCAGAAAACATGGCCCTGGGTCTCTGCTGTTTCTACATCACATCTCCCAGACTCAATCTCTTCATCTGTAAAATGGGGCTTTAATACTCGATATCTGTACCACTTATCTCATAGAAATGTGCATCTAAGATGATAATGTAAAAGTGTTTTCTTTGGTTGACTCTACAATTATATATTTCACCCTCCAGGCACAGGTTAAATCCACTCCCTCCCTGGACATTACATTCTTCTTTTCTATTCTAATATTCTAAAGTAACTTCAGTAGGCTAGGTGAAGGGGCCCCTTCTTATTTACTTGGAAGTGATCTGAAAAAAAAAAAAATCTTTTTCATTAAGAAAAGCATTCTCCAGGAGATGTGCAATAAGCAGTATCAGGCCCCAGCACATGAGGGTCAGGTATGGAGCTGAATTATAAGGGGTTTGCAGCAAGAATCTATCTATTCAGAAAGGCTGACTTTGTATCAGTCTGGGAAAAGACCACCATAAGCTTTAGTCCTCCTATCTTGATACACAATACCCATTGCCTGGGTCTTTCTGTGAAACAAATTAAATAACTGAGGTGAATGAGCTATTATAACCAGAAAAGGATTTTTTCCAAATCCCTCATTCTCTCTCACCTATCTAATAACAAAAGCCTGAAAACACATGCAATTCCCCACCATCTGATCGCACAAATGAAGGCTTTAACTGAAATTGCTTTTTGCTAAATGAAGTCTCTTTAACCTTAATAACAACAATTTTGATCAATCCTGATAGTAGGACCACATCTACCAGATTTTGAAAGGGTCTTAGCTTTTTGGGGCAAGATGCTTTCTTTAACGTTTCACGTTGGGAAAGAAATATCTTAAAAACTATTGTTGGGATCTATGAATAGAATTGTGTAGATATTTTTTTAAAGGGCAAGATACCTCAACTGTATCAGAAGGCAAAAAGTGTGTGAAAAGGAACAAGAGGGTCCGTTTGTTGAATATGTCTAAGTGATTACAAAAAGCTGCAGTAGATTCCCTAATATGCTAGCTTACCTGTGAACTCTCTAGAACCTAACAGATGGCACTTTCTGAAAAGCTTTTAGCCTATGTATTCATGAAGCTAATAATCCTTAAGATAACTAGCTCAGTTAAATCAGGATATCTGCGTACCCAAGGAAGACTTTTTGGCAAGTTTCAGAGGGAAAAAAAAAGGCTAATTTTTAAACTTTACTCACTACAACTTTTTAAAAAATCTGTGCATAATTTGTAATTAACCCAACTTACTGTTTTCTCCTTTTAGGCATGCATTTTGTTTTGGCACGACCATTTCCTGTATTAAAAAAAGATGTTAAAACAATTTTTGCCCAAGATTACCCTAAAAGGTTTCCACAGTTTTCTAGGAAGACACGGCAACTAATGATGGCTGAATCTGCAGAGAGGCAGAACTCACAGCTGAGGCCACAGAGCACGTTCCAGGTCTCCAAGTCCACTCCCTCTCTCCCTTATGCCAAGCCACCAACACCAGCGGCCACTTCATTACTAGTGCAGAGCAGGCTTGGAGCAGCCTGTGCCTTCAGGATGAATGTCTCCAAAGAAAGGGCCTGGGCCAAGCAGTACCCTTCTCGCTCTCCCTGCAACTGCTCGCACAGGAAGTCCTGCTCCATGCAGTCTAACAGTGTGGTCCCTGCCAGCCAACTTCTGAGCCACCTTCAGTTGGGGTCTGGGGATCTGCTGGAGGGGCAGGGGCACAGCAAAGAAAGGGATACACAGACACAGGCTTCTCCTTGGAAAAACCGTGCCACCCAAGAAGGTTTCACAGGGTCCCTTGCCATGCACCTGCTATCTGTCCTGTTGATACCACAGGTAGAGGCTCCTAAACTCCATGAGCTGAAAGATCTGAGGATTCACTGCAGCATCTCCAGCAAACGGACTTGGGCATGTCACCAGGAACGACTCCTCTCCTTCCTTTCCCTGTCCCCCACTTCACAATCTCTAAGCATCTCCTAAACATCAAATCAGCGTTGTTGCTATTGGTTGTGGGTGATTCTGAGACCAGTGAAAGAAACTGCTTGGTGCCGATGTTTCCACTAGATAGGCCGGAAAGGGGACCTAGTGAACACCTTAAGGGCAAATGAAAGACCGGGCAGGACATCAAACATCCATGAGCCACCTACAAGTTTTTCCCTGTTGTCAGTCCAATCCCAGTTTAAAACCAGGCCTTGGTTGCAGAATCCCATCTTTATCTCTTATGGGGTTATTTCTTTGACCCTTTGCATTCTCATCTGCAAAATGGGTATACCAATGCCCGCAAAGGTGACGTTAAGGATGAAATGAGATGATGTAGGGTAAAGCTTGTTATGGAGCCTGGCATTGTTTTCACTAAGCGCTCAAAACCCGAACCCACTCAGATAATGATCAGGGAGGGTCCCCTTCCTTGGTGCGGGCTTCCGGGAAGCTGAGGCTCCCGCCCCAAGCAGTAAGGCAAGTACCAGAAGCAAAGCCTCCTAGCCTAGGCCTCCAGCTCACGCCGCCACAGAAGGCACCTGGCTGCCAAGTCCCCGCGTGCCAGCAGGCGGCACATCCAGGTGCGAGGCGGCACGTGCACGGGAGCCCTGGGCTAGGAGAGCCGGGCGGGCAGCTCCCGCGCCGGGGGCCCGAGGCGGGCACTGCCCCAGGGTCCCGCTCCACGCAGGCGCGGGGGGGGGGGGGGGTCGCGCGCTCCCCGCCCCCGCTCCCCGCCCCCACCGGGCGGCTCTCCCCTCCTCGTCCTCCTCCTCCTTCGCGCTGCCAGTGCCGCCTCACCTCCTCCGTTCTTGTAGCACAGGTAAGGGAAGCGCCACACGTTGCCCAGCCCGATGATCTCCCCGGCCACGCTCAGCACGAACTCCACCTTGTTGTTCCACTGGCCCCGCTCGTGGACCGCCTTGTCGCGCTTGTCGCGCGGGTCGCGCGCGGCCGCCGCGCCCCCGCCGCCGCCTCCCAGCGCCTCCGACTCCCGCGCCTCCTCGGCAGCCTTCCCGTTGCCCAGAGGCAGCGCCTTCTCCGCCGTCATGGCCGCGCTGGCTGCCTCGTGCGCCGGGCCCGACTCTGCGCCGCCGCCCCGGGCGGGCTGGCTTTTCAGGAGGCGAGAGCGGGCGGGAGGGGGAGGCAGGGGGTGGAGCTGAGGGGCCGGGCCGGGCCGGGCCAGCGCGGGGACGGGGACGGGGCCGGGGACGGGGCCGGGGACGCCGACGCCGCCTCGGCCCCGCGGGGCCCGGGAGCCCGCGAGCACCTTGCGCGCGCCGAGCACCTTGCGCGCGCCGAGCACCTTGCGCGCGCCGAGCACCTTGCGCTCTCTTCCTTCGTGCTCTCCCACCTCCTGGCCTCAGGACAAGAGTGGAAACGCCCATTCAGGCCCACGTCAGGCTACGGAGACCAGTCCCTCAAGTTCCACCGCTCTGTAACCTCCAATAGCTGGGGTCTAGGTTGCCCGTCTCTAAGGAGAGGAGTGGGCTCTAGACCAGGCTTCTTCCAACTTTAAGATACGTACTAAGCACCTGCGGATCCTCATCTAGTGGGTCAGCCTGGGCTGGAGCTTCCGTGTTTCTAACAAACTTCCAGGTGCTGCGGATGCTGCTGGCTCAGGGACCACACCTGGAGGAAAAAGAAAGTAAATGAACTCCTCTGATTTCTTCCCAGTTCTGGAGATTTGTGAGCTTCCCCTAGGATGGGCACACCCACAGATCTTGCCCATCCTGGTGCTTACTGTTCTAAACACAAGGAGTCAGGACCGTGTGGTAGTTAAATTAAGAGCATCTGTCTGAAGATAGGCAAGTATAAGTTGAGTCTCATGCTCCACCTTTCTGAGCGATGTGAAGTCATCTGACCTCTATGCCTCAGTTTCCTGATCTCCAAAAGGAAATACCAATAATGCCTTTCTTATGAGGTGTGTGTACTTAATGAGAAAATGCTTATAAAGTACTTAGTACATTGGAAATGCTCGATGAACTTCATTTTTTTGGCATTATCATACAATCTGTAGTTACACAATATATATATATTCATGAATCTTCTTGTTTAATATCTATCACACCACTCCATTGTAAGAGTGATATACACTGTCTCAGTCTCAATTATAATAGCCACAGTGCTTGGCATAAGACCTAGCACATAGTAGGTGTTAAGTAAATACTTATGGCAAGAGAGAAAGAGGGAGGAAGGAGGAGAAAGAAAAGGGAAAGAAAATTAGATATGCAAGGGGCCACAGAGATAGTCAGATCTACCTCCATCGTTCCACAGCCCTGGAGAAGGCCAACCGCAGGAGCTCTCACTAATGCTCTCCATCCACCCCTGGGAGCTCCTTCTGGGCTCTCAGGGAGAACCTCCCCATCTGCTAGCTTTCAGCCTTTGCTTTCATTCTGGCTTACAACTGCTCAAGTCTCTCCCCACCTCCATCCCTCTAGAAAACCCTTCCTGCTGCCATCTTCCCATTTCAGGCCTTCTTCCTCCCCTCCCCCTCACTATCATATTTCTTGAAAGAGTAAGTTTACATGCTGCTGGCCATGTCTTCACCTCCCACTCATTCCTCAGCCCACAGCAATCTGGTGCCCACCCCCAGCATTCCGCTGAAAGTGTTCTCTTGGAAGTCCCTGAAGCCCTCTTCATTTGGCAAATCTTACAGCTCCTTGTCCATTCCCATCCTGCCTGACCTCTAGGTATCTCTCTGTACCATCTTCCCCTTCTTTCTGTCTTAAAATTCACACTTACATGCTTTCCTAAACACTGCCTGCCTCAGCTGCTGTTTCTCTCCCTGCCTCTCTGCTTTTTCTTTCTCTCTTCTAAATTTCATCTTTTTCATGCTTTTAGCCACCCGAAGAAATCCTGATGGCTCCCACACCTTCGACCCCATGTGCTGTGCAGGGTATGTTCAAAAGCAAAGATTCTGCAGAGTGTTTAGGGTAAGAGTAAACTGAATTCAGGTAGGTGTGGGGTCACATCCAGGCTCTGCCCCTTATGAGCTGTTATCTCTCTCCTCAAGCTCCCTCCTCTGCCAAGTGGGGTTGATACTAGTTCTGACCTGATGGGATGGGCATGAGGGTTTGAGGGCTGAAAGCCTTGAAAGCAATAGGTGTTCTGTGCATAGTAGTTACTATTTTTATTGTGATGATGGTGGTGATGTCATCCCCTTGTTTAAAAGTCTTCATTGACCTTCCTTTTCCTACAGGATGAAATAAAATTGCTTCCCTTGGCATTCAAAATGACCCCACAATCTGAATGTTCCAGCCTTTCCTTCTAAATGGACGCCCTTTCTATCCATGCAAAAACTCCATATTATTACTTTTATTCAGTGGGGGCAGGCATGGTCCTCATACTGCACATAGAATGGGCAATAAAGGAAGAAATTCATGTTTGATCTTGACAGTCCCTGCACGCAATAGGTACATAGTACCTAGGAGTCCCACTGTTAAATGAACAACTACATCAAAAGTTAGAAATACAGTCCCAACCCTTATTGCAATATTAGGCTATCACCCCAGAATCTGTGTAAACCTCCTTTGAATCTAATTACATTTTGCTTTATAATGCTCCTCAGCACAGTTAACTCCAGGAATTGACTTCCTCTGAGGAGCTATGATTTTATGAGACCTGCTTGGTAAGTAACACTGAGCAGCATAAGAGGGTTGGAGCTGGCCATCCTCTGGCACACATTTGGGCTCAGCTTTGCTGATAGGTGGTTATGTGGCCTTGATATGTCCCCTAATTTCTGAACTGCAGTGTCCTTGGCTTATCAAAATGAGCTTGATTTTCCTCATCTCCCAGGGTAGTCTTAGAGGTAAAGTTAGACTATATGCAGAGAAGAACATTGTACAAACGCTAATATCTCAAACTCACCTCTCAGGTTTTAATGTTTCCTTTTATGGAAGTTGACCAAGTCAGTATCCTCTTACTAGAATTTGGTAAATAAATGTTTAAAGTCTTTCCCCATGGTTATATTATGGCTCTGAAAACTCTTGTTCTTTTTCTTCTGTCCTTATGCAGAAGAACTGATATTTCCCCCAATATTTCAGAGCCTCATCTCTGAACCTTTTTCATTTTGTTATTATTGAGTGGCAGTGACTTGAAGAGCACACAGCCATGTCTCTGGGATGGATGTACTTAGGTGGGAGCAAGATAGGAATATGGGCCATGGATCATCTCCAGAGCTAGTCCTGATGCAACACAGCCTAGTGGTTAGTTACATGGGCTATACAATCACACTTCTTGAGTTCAAAGCCCAGGTCTACTAATTTGGCACATAACTCTGAGCTCCAGTTTCTTTATCTGCAAAGTAGGAGTACTAATAGTATTTACCTTTGTTAGGAAGATTAAATGGGTTAGTATTTGTAAAGTACTTATATTAGTGCCTGATACAGATACTTCTGTTAAATAAATATATAAATAAAAAACATAAAAATATTTCTTTTCTTTAAATAGAACAGAAATATCATGACTTTCCTATTCCTTTCTCAGGGCAAGCATTCAAAGTCTTTTAATCTTCTGGAAATAGCTATCCTGAAGGCTCATTTAAACTCCAGCATTGCTCATTCATTTGTACTCCAAATACTTATGGATCTTCAATTATCTTCAGACATTTTATTGGTCATGAGGGTACAAAACCAGATAGAAAGCCTGCCCTGGGAGTACGCTGAAGCCAGCTCATACAAGCTCATGAGAGCCAGTTTTTAAGTTTTCAGGTATTTTGCAAGCCATAATTGGGAGCTTGAAGTCTGCCGTGGTGGTTTTACTTATACCACAGGAATCTGCAAAGGCTACAAATCAACCCCATACCCCCCTAGCCAGTGTACCAGCCTACCATTACAGATTAGTGGGGGATGCAGATTCTAGTGTAGTAATCACAGAAATGAATAGAAGTTGGAGATCCTGGTTTATGCCACAAAAAAGAGCTCTATGTTGCTGGAAAAGCTTGTAACTGAGAGATCTGACCTTGTCAAGATCAGGGAGGGCTCTGTGAGCAAGTGACAGATGAGCTGAATCCTGAAGGGACAGAAGCAAAGAATGGAATGAGGGAGCTGGGGTTCCTGAAAGATGAGCACTAAGGCTGAGGCTGGAGCACAGAGTGTGGAACAAAAGGGGAAACATTTTTAGTAATGGGTGACATTAGCATATTTGCATTATAAAGAGATTACTGTGAAAAGTGGTTTATGGAGTGAGGTGGATGCTATGAAGAGACTACTGCATTAGTCTGGGCAAGAGATGATGCAGTTTCCATGAGGGAGGTGGCGATAGAGAGGAAGAGAGGAAGGGGAAGGTGGTAAAACCTATAGGACTTGAGGTGCCTGGGTGGCTCAGTGGTTGAGCACATGCCTTTGGCTCAGGTCGTGATCCTGGGGTCCTGGGATCAAGTCTCACATCAGGCTTCTCGCAGGGAGCCTGCTTCTCTATGTATTTCACGAATAAATAAATAAAATCTTAAAAAAAAAAAAAAAAACCCACAGGACTTGACCTGGTGCTGAAGATGAAGGATGAGGAAAGGGAAAGTATCCAGTGTTCTGCCAGGTTAGTAGAACTCCAGCATTCCATCTTGAGGACGATGATCCTACTCTACTTTGTGCACCCACTGATGGCTTGCTCAAGGAGGAATAGGTCAGAACACTGGACAGTGCACTGGCTTCAATGGTGTGAACGGTTGCAAGACCAAAAAACTACATGGCAGAACCAGGATCAAAGAGAGGAAACCAAAAACCATTAGGTACCAGAAAGAATTCCTTACAAATCATCCAAACTGACTAATCTGTCCCAGGAGGTAGTCAACTCCTCTCACTTAAGATATTGCAGTGGAAACTAGACCAGCACACAGCAGGAAGGCCACAGGAGTACTTATGAGTGGGCTTTTCTAGTCACAAGAGTCTTTGAGAACACGGTTCTCTGCAAAAACTTTGCCTTATTACCATCACTATACCTTTTTCTAATAGGTTTGCATTAACAATCCCAATTCTTCACTCTGCCCTATATCCATGTGATTTGCCATGTAACTCTGTAGGACCCTCCCAGCACCAGAGTTCAGTCATCTAACTTGATTTGGACAGGAGAAT